GGACAGGCGTCCGTGGGCGAAGAAGCTGCTGGCCCATTTTTCCACCCTCACCGAGCTGAGGTGACACGACCGGAGTAGACGACTGCCTTGTTTTCACGAACCCTTTTCGTCCTTGGCCTTTTCGCCTCACTCCGGCGCTAGCTCTCCGGTCTCCGTGCGAAGCTGTCACCGAAATGTGTCGTTCTTTGGTGTTTTCTTCATCATGGGGTGGTATAATATATATATACCGACAACCTCTTCGACCCGGGCCAACCCCGCCCTTGTTTCGGTAGGGGCACCTCGCCAAGGGACTACGCTGCGTGGACCCCAGCAACACCCAACTGCTTGTCGTTCGAAAGCGACGAAACGTTGTTTCCCCCCGCTGTCCTTCCGCGAAGAACGTCATTTCCACCTACAACGCAGACCGTAGACTAAAGCTGGGTTGGGAACAATCAACATGACTTGCGCAGGCGCACGGATGCGGCTGCCCGGTGCCACACCAGGCTTGGCTCGAGGCCTTCCAGCCACCACCGCCGCCGGCAAGAGTAGGCGTATCGCCGAATTACCTTTGCTTCCCATTCCCAACTGTTTTCTTTGTTTTTTTTGCCGCTTGACAACACGCGTTGTCGTCGTCCAGGTGGCTCTCCTGGAGGCGACTGATGAACATTCTCGACATGGGGGTCAATCTGGGGCTAGAGAACCCGGCGACCGATCACCCTCAGCAAGAAGGAGACGATGACAACAGCGCTGATGAGGTGGGGGGGGGGGNGGGGGGGGGGGGGGGGGGGGGGGAGTCCGATGATCGTGCTGCTGCCCGAGCGCTCGATCGGAAGCGCCTGTCGTGTAACGCGAAATGGTGGAGTCATTGCTTGTTGTATGGTACTTTTTGTCTCTTTCCGCGTCTCCAAAGGTGTGTCGCTTGTGTTCTGAATCCTTTCGGTGTCTCCGGAAGGGCTCATTACGCTCTGTCGCTTTGGGTCCTCCTAGCCGCGGCAGACGACGACTACAAGTATGCTTCCCGCTTCGATCTTCCGCGCCGCCAGAGTGCTCAACGTGGCCGGAGGGGGAGGGGGCGCTGGCTGCGCTTTCTCACCCCCCACCCCCCCCCCAAAAAAGTACATATGTGGGTTGGCGCTGTTGGCAAAGCGCTGCAAAACACGCCACCCCAAACACAGTCTCCAAAGAATACGCTATACCAAAGACGCGTGACGCATGGACGAGTGGAGTGAGGATAGCTGTTGCCGGAAACCTCACGGGTTGAGTAATGTATGAGATTGCCGGACACAGACGTGATAGCTGCATACTGAAACCTCACAACAACAATTGGATTGGTTGTTGAGTTTGCCAGACACAGCCTAGACGCGTTGAGTGGGGATACCTGCATACTGAAGCCCCACAGGTCGAGTGATGTTGGATAGTGCCGGACACATTGACGCATTGAGTGAGGATAGACACATACTGAAATCTCACAGGTGATTTGTATTGGATATTGCCGGACACATAGACGTGTTGAGTGAGGATAGCTGCATAGTGAAACCTCACGGGTGGGTTGGTTTTTGAGTTTGCCAGACAAATAGACGCGCTGAGTGGGGATAGCTACATACTGAAACCTCACGAGTTGAGTGATGTTGGATAGTGCCGAACACTTAGACGCATTGAGTGAGGAAAGCTGCATACTTAAACCTCACAGGTTGATTGGTATTTGAGATTGCCGGACACATAGACGCGTTGAGTGAGGATAGCTGAATACTGAAAATCCACAGTAGCTGTAGTGAGGGGACAATTCGAGAAAGCAGTACACATAGACCCGATCCCCAACCCGTACCCGAACCCCCCCTAAAAGATAGAGGCCATGCGCCCCCCCCCCCCCCCCCCCCCCCCCCCCCCCCCCCCCCCCCCCCCCCCCCCCCCCCCCCCCCCCC